AAGGATCTCATTCAGATTTGATGGAGAAATTAAAACCTTTACAGACAAGCAAAAGCTAAGAGAATTCAGTACCACCAAACCACCTTTACAGCAAATGCTAAAGGAACTTTTCTAGGCAGGAAACACAAGACAAGGAAAAGATCTACAATAACAAAGCCCAAACAATTAAGTAATAGGAACATACATATCAATAATTACCTTAAATCTAAATGGATTAAATGCTCCAACCAAAAGACATAGGCTGGCTGAATGGATACAAAAACAAGACCCATATATATGCTGTCTTCAAGAGACCCACATCAGACTTAGGGAAAAATACAGACTGAAAGTGAGGGGATGGAAAAAGGTATTCCATGCAAATGGAAATCAAAAGAAAGCTGGAGTAGCAATTCTCATATCAGAAAAAATAGACTTTAAAATAAAGACAATTACTGAAGACAAAGAAGGACACTACATAATGATCAAGGGATCAATCCAACAAGAAGATATTAACAATTGTAAATATTTATGCACCCAACATAGGAGCACATCAATACATAAGGCAAATGCTAGTAGCCATAAAAGGGGAAATTGACAGTAACACAGTCATAGTAGGGGACTTTAACACCACACTTTCACCAATGGACAGATCATCCAAAATGTAAATAAATAAGGAAACAGAAGCTTTAAATGACACATTAAACAAGATGGACTTAATTGATATTTATAGGAGATTCCATCCAAAAACAAGGCAATACATTTTCTTCTCAAGTGCTCATGGAACCTTCTCCAGGACAAATCATATCTTGTGTCACAAATCAAGCCTTGGTAAATTTAAGAAAATTAAAATGGTGTCAAGTATCTTTTGCAATGACCACACTATGAGACTAGATATCAATTACGGAAAAAAATCTATAGAAAGTACAAATACATGGAGGCTAAACAATACACTACTTAATAACCAAGAGATCACTGAAGAAATCAAAAACTACCTAGAAACAAACAACAATGAAAACACGATGACCCAGAACCTATAGGATGCAGCAAAAGCAGTTCTAAGAGAGAAGGTTATAGCAATACAATCCTACCTCAAGAAACAAGAAACATCTCAAATAAACAACCTAACCTTACACCTAAAGCAATAAGGGAAGGAAGAACAAAAAACCCCAAAGTTAGCAGAAGGAAAGAAATCATAAAAATCAGATCAGAAATAAATAAAAAAGAAATGAAGGAAACAATAGCAAAGATCAATAAAACTAAAAGCTGTTTCTTTGAGAAGATAACCAAAATTTATAAACCATTAGCCAGATTCATCAAGAAAAAAAGGGAGAAGACTCAGATCAATAGAATTAGAAATGAAAAAGGAAAAGTAACAACTGACACTGCAGAAATACAAAGCATCATGGGAGATTACTATAAGCAACTATATGCCAATAAAATGGACAACCTGAAATAAATGGACACATTCTTAGAAAAGCACAACCTTCTGAGACTGAACCAGGAAGAAATAGAAAATATGAACAGACCAATCACAAGTAATGAAATTGAAACTGTGATTAAAAATCTTCCAACAAACAAAAGCCCAGGACCAGATGGCTTCACAGGCAAATTCTATCAAAAACTTAGAGAAAAGCTAACACCTATCCTTCTCAAACCCTTTCCAAAATATAGCACAGGGAGGAACACTCCCAAACTCATTCTACAAGGCCACCATCACCCTGATACCAAAACCAGAAAAAGATGTCACAAAGAAAGAAAACTACGGGCCAATATCACTGATGAACATAGATGCAAAAATCCTCAAAAAAATACTAGCAAACAGAATCCAACAGCACATTAAAAGGATCATACACCATGATCAAGTGGCGTTTATCCCAGGAATGCAAGGATTTGTCGATATACACAAATCAATCAATGTAATATACCATATTAACAAACTGAAGGATAAAAACCATATGATCATCTCAGTAGAGGCAGACAAAGCTTTCAACAAAATTCAACACCCAATTATGATAAAAAACCCTCCAGAAAGTAGGCATTGAGGGAACTTACCTCAACATAATAAAGGCCATATATGACAAACCCACAGCCAAAATCATTCTCAATGGTGAAAAACTGAAACCATTTCCACTCTGATCAGGAACAAGACAAGGTTGCCCACTCTCACCATTATTATTCAACATAGTTTTGGAAGTTTTAGCCACAGCAGTCAGAAAAGAAAAAGAACTAAAAGGAATCCAAATTTGGAAAGAAGAAGTAAAGCTGTCACTGTCTGCAGTTGACATGATACTATACATAGAGAATTCTAAAGATGCTACCAGAAAACTACTAGAGCTAATCAAGGAATTTGGTAAAGTAGCAGGATACAAAATTAATGCACAGAAATCTCTTGCATCCCTATGCACTAATGATGAAAAATATGAAAGAGAAATTAAGGAAACACTCCCATTTACCACTGCAACAAAAGGAATAAAATACCTAGGAATAAACCTACCTAAGAAGACAAAAGACCTGTATGCAGAAAACTCTAAGACACTGATGAAAGAAATTAAAGATGATACAAGCAGATGGAGAGATATACCATGTTCTTGGATTGGAAGAATCAACATTGTGAAATGAATATACTACCCAAAGCACTCTACAGATTCAATGCAATCCCTCTCAAATTACCACTGGTATTTTTCACAGAACTAGAACAAAAAATTTCACAGTTTGTATGGAAACACAGAAGACCCGGAATAGCCAAAACAATCTTGAGAAAGAAAATTGGAGCTGGAGGAATCAAGTTCCTGGACTTTAGACTATACTACAAAGCTACAGTAATCAAGATAGTATGGTACTGGCACAAAAACAGAAATATAGATCAATGGAACAGGATAGAAACCCCAAAGATTAACCCACACACATACAGTCACCTTATATTTAATAAAGGAGGCAAAAATATACAATGGAGAAAAGGCAGCCTCTTCAATAAATGGTGCTGGGAAAACTGGACAGCTACATGTAAAAGAACGAAATTAGAACACTCCCTAACACCATACACAAAAATAAACTCAAAATGGATTAAAGACCTAAATGTAAGGCCAGATACTGTCAAACTCTTAGAGGAAAACATAGGCAGAACACTCTATGACATCAATCACAGCAAGATCCTTTTTCACCCACCTCCTAAAGAAATGGAAATAAAACCAAAAATAAACAAATGGGACCTAATGAAACTTAAAAGCTTTTGCACAGCAAAGGAGACCATAAACAACATGAGAAGACAACCCTCAGAACAGGAGAAAATTTTTGCAAATGAAGCAAGTGACAAAGGATTAATCTCCAAAATATACAAGCAGCCCATGCATCTCAATATCAAAAAACCAAACAACCCAATCAAAAAATGAACAGAAGTCCTAATAGACATTCCTCCAAAGAAGATATACAGATTGCCAACAAACACATGAAAGGATGCTCCACAGCACTAATCATTAGAGAAATGCAAATCAAAACTACAATGTGCATCACCTCACACCAGTCAGAATGGCCATCATCAAAAAATCTACAAACAATAAATGCTGGAGAGGGTGTGGATGAAAAGGAACCCTCTTGCACTGTTGATGAGAATGTAAATTGATACAACCACTATGGAGAACAGTGTGGAGGTTCCCTTAAAAACTAAGAATAGAACTACCATATGACCCAGCAAACCCACTACTGGGCATATACCCAGAGAAAACCATAATTCAAAAGAGTCATGTACCACAATGTTCATTGCAGGTCATATACCACTACTGGGCATATACTGGGCATATACCCAGAGAAAACCATAATTCAAAAGAGTCATGTACCACAATGTTCATTGCAGGTCTATTTACAGTAGCCAGGACATGGAAGCCACCTAATGTCCATCCACAGATGAATGGATAGAGAAGATGTGGCACATATATACAATGGAATATTACTCAGCCATAAAAAGAAATGAAATTGAGTTATTTATAGTGAGGTCCATGGACCTAGAGACTGCCATACAGAGTGAAGTAATTCAGAAAGAGGAAAACAAATACCGTATGCTAACACGTATATATGGAATCTAAAAAAAAAGAAAAAAAATTATTCTGAAGAACCTAGGGGCAGGACAGGAATAAAGACACAGACATAGAGAATGGACTTGAGGACATGGGGGGGGGGAAGGGTAAGGTGGGACAAAGTGAGAGAGTAGCATTGACACATATACACTACCAAATGTAAAATAGATAGCTAGTGGGAAGCAGCTGCATCACACAGGGAGATCAGCTCGGTGATGTGTGACCACCTAGAGGGGTGGGATAGGGAGGGTGGGAGGGAGATGCAAGACAGAGGGTATATGTGGATATATGTATACATATAGCTGATTCACTTTGTTATACAGCAGAAACTAATACAACAATATAAAGCAATTATATTCCAATAAGGATGTTAGAAAAACCAAAAGAGATACATACTACTATGTATAAAATAGAGAAGCAACAAGAATATATTGTACAGAACAGGGAAATATAACCATTGTTTCATAATAACTTTAAATGACTTTAGCTTTAAATATGTTTAAACCATAATAACTTTTATAATCTATAAAATATTGAATAGTGATTCAATATTGTGCACCTGAAACTAATATAATATTGTAAATCAACTATACTTCAATAAAAATATGAGCTGTTAGAAAGAAAGAAAGAAGAAAGAGAAGTGGACTTTAAAGTTTTAAAAGGTAAAGTAGCATAATAAATGTACTTTCAAGTTATTTAGAATATTTTTTCAGAAAAACTATATGCATGTTTACAATATATGGATATATATGAGAGAACAAAGAAAATATGGTAAAATATTAAAAATAGGTAAATTTGAATAGAAAGCTTCTAGGAGTTATTTGTACTATATTTGTAACTCTTCTATAGTTCTGAGATTATTTCAAAATAAAAATTTTTTAAACACTAGATAGGTAAATTAGAATCAAAAAGTTTTTCATTAAATAATACTTTCATATTTCCTTGATAAAATCAATATCAATTTTCAGAATACATTCACAAACATTTTTTAACTTGTTCTTATAACCATCTCACAAATAGAATATGAAAGATGATTGTTTCTGTAGTGTAGATAAAGCAGTGATAATCAGAGTGGTTAGTGCTCTTGCCTTGGGCCTCATAGCTGTGAGTGACAAAGTCAACAGTAGAACACGTGTATTTTGATCCATTGTCCAGTGTTTTCTCTACCACATTGTTCCTTAACATCTGACAAAATAAAGGAATTTTCCAAATCACCTCAAATGTATTAGTACATTAAAATTGGGGGTTAAGAAAATATGAAAAATGTATTCAGTCAATGCAAATATTTCTTTACTTCAGAGAGTTTCAAAGACCAGTATATGCGTAAAGCTAGGTCAATCATATGTTTAAAAATGATAAATGAAACATGACTCAGAAAAGGGGCCTATGCCACCACCATGCAATATTCATAATTTTATTAATAGCCAGTCATGCATATCAGAATTGTGATTTTATTCACATTGTACTCAGATATGCAAATAAATTTATTGCCTCAATTACTAGAGGTAACATAATCTTCCTAAGCCCTCTTGGTAACAAGGAACCTTGCAATTGTTGATTAACAAAATCTCAGTCTCTTCTACATTAAACAGTCTCCTTCAACTCAAATACCTGGACTATTTGAAGTTTAGCTCTGTGTTTAGCCTAGTTTAAATGCATCTTTTGGATGGCTTAGAGTTTTAGGAAAATGATCAGTCTTTGAGAGTTTGGGCACCTCACCCTTCTCTGTTCAGAAGACATCTGACTGGGTGAGGGAATGTGTACCATCCCCACAGAGGGCTGGGGTGGGCACTGGTGCAGCAGAAAGAGACCTGGGACTCCTGCCTGGTCTCTGCTGGGGTGAGGCTCCTCTGGTCTGCTCTTGCGTGGGTGACTGATCTCGCTTTTGGGAGTTCTCCTTTGAAAGTGCGGCTCTCCCTAGTCTTTTTAGAGAAAGAAATTCACTCTCCTTGGTCTTCTTAGAGACCTTGTATATGTGTCCAGATGTTTCTACAAGCCCCTACCCCTCCCTGAGAATGGATTTTGAGGGTGAGAGGCTTCAAACTGGGCAAGGAACATGGCAAAAGAACACTGCCATCTGATCTTGCTAACCCTATTCCCTCCTCCCCCTCAATCCACTAAAAAAGTGAACTTTTCTTTTATTTCCCTATTCTTTTTTGCCAAAATTTCTCTCTCACGTCCCTTCTCAGATTACAGATTCATGATTCAATCCCAGGACCAAACACAGGGAAAAATACCCAATAATGGAATGGAGGCATAAAAAATCTAGTGTACCCATTACAGATATATAAGCATTTAAGTATGTCTCCCAAGTGGGTATGATTCCAGGACTGAGACAGGCTGTGTTCTGACAGTATTATTCTCAAAAGACAGCTCTTCCATCCTGCTGGTATTTGAAGGAAAAGGAAAGGCATTATTTGCAGTGTTCTTATGAGTATTTGATATTTTAGCCACTAGGCCCCTCTCAGTAGTCAAAAGCATTTAAGTTCAGTCAAAGTTCACTGAAATCTAACTGAGCAAACAAACAAAAAGAGAGGCAGATCACTCCACCCCCACCATCACACCATTCTGGCACATAGAACATGATCATGTGTGATAAACACGTGCACGGGAGACATCTTGACTTCGTCATCCAGGATATAAAGTGATTAAACAGTAGCAAATTTCTTTGCTCCCGAGTTGGCTCTCCTGCACCCTGAAGATTCCATATATTCATTTATACAAACAAGTCCCATTTGGTATTTACTATCATACATTTTAAGCATGAACTATATACCATATTCACTAATTCCATAATTCATAATTAGAAACTGAAAGTTATTTGACCATATGCAGATACCCTTACAAACCAAAATTGAGTTAGAGAAAGGCCCATATGCCCAAAGCAGCATCATGCTGTTATCTTTTCACACCCTTAATTTCCATCTCTTCTAACATTCTCTTCCCTGCGCATAAACAAAATTGAGGCCAAAGAGTAATTATTATTTCACAGGTAATTTGTAAGACTTTTCAGAGTCAAAAAAGAAAGCAAAATATTAATTAAACTAATTATCATAAAGTCAAATCATGCAAATAGAACAAAGATTAGATAAACTATTGGAAACTTTGTTTGAAGCAAAGAAAGGCATTGCATAGTTGAAACACAGTGAGAAAGAGGAAAGAAAATTTCAGGTAGTTATGAGCTTATATCCTAACATAACCTTTGACTTACTGGACATAATATTGAGTCTTTATCCAATTAAATATCTGCAGCACACAGGTTGAAAGAGAGCCTTAAACTTTAAATAGTAAAATATGTTTCTAAGAAGTTCTGGTCCTTTGGAAGGAGGAAAACAATTCTATGCTCACCCTTAACCATAAAAGGCAGTTGCACTTCGTGGTATGAATAGTTCTGAAAGGTGATTTAACTGCAGGATCAAACAGCTCTAGGCTATTATTTTCTTTGCTGGATTTTTTTACTTTGGGAGCAGACTTTTAAAGTATTTCAAGGAAGTACTTATTCTCATATATCCTGGATAAAATTAAGGCAGTTACAGAATGCGAATTAATTTTCTTAGCTAGCTTAGGCTACCATAACAAAATACCATAGACTGAGTGGTTTAAACAACTGAAATTTGTTTTCTTACAGCTCTAGTTGCTGGAAAGTTCAAGATCAAGGTCCAGCAGGATTCAGTTTCTGGTAAGATCTGTCTTCCTAGCTTTCAGATGGCTGCCTTCCCATTGTGTTCTCACATGCAGGAGACACACACACACACACACACACACACACACAGATCTTCCTCTTCTTATAAGGCCACAGTCTTATCAGACTAGGGTCCCATCCTTATCAACTCATTTAACTTTAATTATCTCCAAAAAACTCTATTTCTTGGGACTTCCCTGGAGGTCCGGTGGTTAAGACATCACCTTCCAATGCAGGGGAAGCAGGTTCAATCTCTGGTTGGGGAGCTGAGATCCCACATGCCTCACAGCCAAAAAACCAAAACATAAAAACAGAAGCAATATTGTAACAAATTCAATAAAGACTTTAAAAATGGTCCACATGAAAAAAAATCTTTAAAAAAAGACTCTACCTCGATAAGTAACATTAGTGGTTAGGACTTCAATGTATATATTTCAGAAGGATACAATTTAGTCAATAGCATAAATCAATCATTTCTTAGAAATGATCTTTAGAATTATACAATACTATTTTCTACTAATACCTCTTTATCCAAGTAAAAAATAAATTAATTAATGTCTTGATTGAAAATGATGAAGGCTGGAAATGTGCAGTTTTACTATTGACTCCAAGGTTGAGAAGCCAATGTTAGTAATTTTCTAAGCCTGAAGGATTTGTTCCTAAATATTTGGACCATGACCATTAGTTAACAGGTTGTTGCTAATATAATTTTGAGGTCTCCACATCTGAAAGTTGAATGTCAAAATATGTGTTTTCTTTTCCTCTGCTGTGTTTTTAATCCAAGGTTTAAATTTCTATGTCTTAACAGAAAACCTACCAAGTTTATCTTAACATTTTTTCTTAACAACGAGTCAGTTTTCCTCACCATGAAGTCCATTAGGTTTATGGGGGTGCCAGCAATCATCAAAGTCACAGAGCCAAGGAACGAACTGGCAAAAAGCCTGTTATGAAATTTTTGGGTAAAATCCACTAATAAAAGAAGACCAATAAAAACAAACTCGTGTTCCTTTTTGTCCTTATTCTTACTTTGACTGTTACATTATCTTTTTGATCTTTACCTCTAGGACTGAACAATACCTGATTTGGCTTTCAGATTGATAAGCTGTTTTCTAAAATATCTGAAACAAAGAGCAGGTATTTTCCAGTTGTGCTTTGGTATCTATTTGCTGAGAGCAACAGGTGTCAGAAAGTAATGTTCCTTGTCTTTCTGTCCTCTGCATGCCAAACCCTGAACAGATTCATATAACAAACTGAAGTTCCCCATGAAGTTATTTCTATGGCGTATTTGAAGATGAAGGTGAAACAGTTAAAAGCATGCTGTAAGATATATTTTATTTGTTAAGAACACGTTTTTGATTGAGGATCTGACTAAATAAGAGTTAAATTTTAAGCAATATTTATGAAAACATAATTTGTTATTTTTAAATAGTTATCGATTGTCCATTAAAATGGAGACAAGTATGAAATGCTTTAATCAAATCCCACAATTATCATCCAAATGACACTCTATTTGTTTTAAACTAATTTTTAAAAGTCAGTACCTGAAAAAAATCAGAATATCATATTTAGTTTTTTATTTTCTTATAACCACACATCTTCTGAGGGTGTATGAACGAGCATTGTTACTGTCAAACAGAAAGAGAGAGAAGAGAAAAAGGGCTTAGATGATCAGCCCCGTCTAATTGATGTGGTTGTCTCAGCCATCTGATAGAAGATGGCAAATAGGAATAGTTTAAAAACAAAACAAAAACAAAAAAAGGAAGGACATGGAAGAAATTAGAAAGTCAAAACTATCTTCATGGAAAACAATCCAGTGTCAATCTATCGTTTCACCAATTTGTTGTACATTATGGTCATCTCATGGTCCTGCCTCTTCCTTGGAGGTCCTGTCAAACCCCTTAAGTACATCATGGATTTATGGCAATTTGCAAAATAAATTATGATTGTATCTGGCTCACCAATAAACAAAGGAAAGGGCAATGTAAAAACTAGATAGCAATATGTGATCTATTAAATTATAAATCCACATTTAATGAATTGGAACTGTAAAAAACACATTTTGAATTGTGCAAAAAATATAGTAGTTCAAAGTATAATTATAAGTTTAATTCAATAAATCAACTGAAAGCAAATTAGGGAGGAATTAGATAATATGACAATTATATTTAGTATAAATTTTGAAAATTCAAGGGGGATTTCTATTTCTCTGTAATAGAATAACAAACAATAAAAAAACTACACAGATCAGGGGTTGGAAAACTTTTGTGAAAGTTCAGATATACACATTTTAGGCTTTGCAAGCCACATATAGTCTCAGTCTCCTCTTTTTCAACTTCTTTTATCTCTTATCCTTCTTGTTTTTTTCTTGCATCTTGTTTTTCTTTATTCGCAACCTTTTAAAAATTTAAAAACAATTCTTAGCTCACTGGTCATACAAAAACAGGCTGCAGGTTGGATGTGGCTCATGGTTGTGTTTGCCAACCTCAGATATAGATAAACCAAACAAGGCTAGTATCTTTATAGTTTTCTAATATACCATAATCTCACTACTCATTTTCTATTTTCATGCCTTTGAACTTGCTGTTTTTCTCACCCAGACTGCCCATCCCTCTTTCTTGCCTAATTCAAGTCACATATCATTTAATATAAAATTTACATTCTACTTCCTCCAAGAAACTTATCTGATCAACATGGTATAACTAATATTTTTGTTATGAATATAACCATAGAAATGTATGAAATGTCACATAGTTCATTATTTGCATTAACAATTCCAGGTACCAATAGCCAGTTTTCTTATGTACAACTCTATAATTTTATTGACCATATTTCAATATTGTAATTATTTTAAAGTTATGCTTAGTACTCTTTAAGTCTCAAATTTAGTGAACTATGTTTTATTGCTTTTCTGCTAAGATTAATTCTACTAAGTTAATGCATCTGTTCTGCTAACAGCCTGCTTTAAAACAACTATAGGGACTCAGGGAGGTTCTGCATCTGCTTAGGATTCAGAAAACCACAAGAGAATGTTGCTATTATCCTAACAACAAGAAAAAAAATCAAAATCTACATTTTCTTTACTCCATAGGAGAGCTGAAGTTGCAGGGCAAGCAAATGCTCTGAGTTCCAAAGAGTGACAAGCTCTGTGAGGAGAAACAGTACACACAAATTTTCACCTTTGGCAAGACATGAGAGGATGAGATGGTCACCGTAGAAGTGGGTAAGAATAAATCACACTAAACTTTAACAAATTCTTAAAGGCTGAGAATGGACTAGCATATAAGTTTGGAAAAACTGAAATCCCTCGAAACAAGTATATTTTACACTCACTCACAAACATTTTTCATGAGCCAATTCCATGAAAATTGAAGGTCATGGTAGAAAACTGGAGAGAGCTTCCCTCAGGAACATCGGTATGCAGGTGTTCAGCTACACCTGGGGAACAGATACAAAACTTTGTATTTTCTCAGATCCTTCTCTTATAAAAAGTAAAAGCATTAAGTTGCTGGAATAGAGACAGGAAGTGCTACGTCCCTAGGATCCAGGCAAAAATCCTGTTTCTAGGGGAGGGGTAGAGGCATAACCCATCTGCTTCTGGGAGTGATTAGGAAGTCCCCCTATCTTCAGGACATAAACACTTCCACTGTTTCTGGGGGTTAAGTAGAAAGGGAAGAAGGAAAATCTTTCTGCTCATGAAAGAGGGCAGGTAAAACTCTTGGACCTGAGATCCTACACTGATACGAAGCAGATGTCTGCTACCAGTGGGGAAGAAGCAGGAAACACTCTCCCGCCCAAGACATGTGCAATATACAAGGCAGGGTTTGGCTGGCATGAGTTAGAAAGTCTGGACTATGAAAACTCTACTCCCAAGGCCCAGGAGCAGAGATCCTACCTAAAAATTGGGCTAGACCAGGATAATATAGCACCCTCTTCCCCTAACATGAGTAGCAATCAACAGCAATCTGGGTTGAGGTAAGAACATTGAGAGATATCCTCTCTGTAGCATAGGCATGGAGGACTACTGCAAGGTGAATGTGGAACAAGAATACTGAGAAGAACCCTCCAGTACTCCAGGCATTACTCCTAGCACAGGATAACAACAGCCCACCACAATAGGAATTTAAAGCCTGTAATGAATAAAGGTTTAAATAGCAACAGCCAAATCCAAACCCAGCTCAAGTACTGACAAGATTTACTCAACCCTCCATATTAACAACCTGACAGAAGAGATGGGCTGATTTCTGAGAGGAAATAATTTTTACCTCAGTCTCAACTATTCTTCTATATATAATATCCAGCATTTAGACAAAAATTATGAGGCATGCAACAAAGCAAAGGAAAAATTATTGTCAAGAGATAAATCAGTCAATAAAATCATACTCAGAGTTGTTCCATATGTTGGCACTATCAGACAGCAACTTTACAATAACTGCAATTAACATGTTAACAGATATTTCAGAAAAGATGAACTATATATAATATAAGATAGGAATTTTCAGCAGTGTTATTGAAACTGTAAAACAAGAGTCAAATAGAAATGTCATAAATTTTAAAAGCACAGTATCAGAGATGAAGAATTCCTTTGACATGCTTATCAACATACTGGCTATAGGTATGGAAAAAAATCATTGAACTTGAAGATAGGTCAATAGAAATTATCCAAGCTAAAAACAGAAAGAAAAGAGAAAGCAGATAGAATACCCAAGAGAGGGAAGACAATATTAAATGCACTAATATACATGAAATTTGAGTCCCCAAAGAAGAAATTAAAAACTGTATAGAAGAAATATTTGAAGACAACCAACATTACAAAGAAGAATAAAGATAAAAATTTACAGCAGACTTCTCATCAAAGACTATACAAACCAAAAGATAATGAAATTACATTTTTTAAATATTGATAGAAAAAAGGCTCCTTAGAATTGTATACCCAGCAAAAAAAGAAATAAAATCTTTTAAAGATTAAGATAAAATTAAAAATATTTCTCAGACAAGAAAATAGGGGGAATTCATTGACAGCAGACCTGCACTACTTTTCTGTTAAAGGAAAGTGTTCATTCATCAGGAACATGAAACCAGATGGAAATTTGAATTTATACAAAGGAAGGCAAAGTGCCAGAAATAGTAAAAATGAAGGTAAATATAAAGATTTTTTCCTTATGCTTATTCACTTTAAAAAGATAGAAGACTGTCCAAACCGAAAATACCAATAATGTATTGTGGGATTTATATCATATGTAGAAGTGAAATGTATGACAATGATAACACAAAAGATGAGATGGAGGAAATGGCATAAACTATATTCGAAGGTAAATTATAATAAGTTAAGATGCAATAGCAAACTCTAGATCAACCACTTAAAAAAAAGAGGTAGGGCTAATAAGCCAATAAAGGAGAAAAAATAAAATCATAAAAAATAATCAGTCCAAAAGAGAGCCGTGAAAGAAAAACAAGAGGGACAAACTGATGGGACAATAGAAGTAGCAAGATGGTAGATACACACCAGTCCTATCATTAAAGTAATAATTATATTAAATACAAATGGTTTAAACACTTCAATTAAGAGGCAGATATTGTCAAGTTGGATGAAAAAGAAATAGCCAAATGTATGTTCTCTACAAGAAACACTTATTTGGGTTCATTTAGCAGAGTGGATCTCACAATTTGATGTATATCAGAAGAGCTGAGGAACTTGTTATACTAAACAGTGACTGTGACTGGCTTATTTTGCTCATTAATGTCCTCCAGGTTCATCCATGTTGTCACAAATGACAGTTTCCTTCTTTTGGGGGGCTGAATAGTATTCCACTTTCTTTGCCATTCATCTATCAGTGGACACATGGGCTATTTTCGTGTCTTGACTATTGTGAATAATGTTGTGGTGAACATGAGAATGCAGAAAGCTCGTCGATATTCTTTTGGATATGTACCCATTGAGTCCACTTACTTGGGAATCTAAAATAGTCAAGCTCATAGAAACATAGAATACAATACTGTTTACCATAGGTAATGTGTTGAGGGAAATTGGGAGTTCTTTTTCCATAGGTATAAAATTTTAGTTATACTAGATGAATAATTTCTAGAGATCTGCTATACAACATCATGCCTATAGTTACAATAAATTGTGCATTTGAGAATTTGTTAAGAGGGTAACTCATGTTGTGTTTTTACCCAAAAACAAACAATCAAGGAAAAAGCAAAGACACAGGAAACTCTGGGAGCTGCTAGATATGTCTGTTGCCTTGACTGTGGTGATGGTATCATGGGTGTTTGCATATTTCCAAATTCATCAAATTGTACACATTAAGTATGTACATTTCTTTTTATAAATTAATTATACCTCAATAAAGCTGTTAAAAATTTTTAAAAAGAAACCCCTTTGAATAAAACACAAATAAATCAGAAATAAAAATAAGGAAAATATATACTCTTCAACACTGATCAAAACTAACTTGAAATAATTAAAATCATATCAAAGTAAACTTCAGAATAAGAAATATTACCAGGGAAAAGAAAGATATTACATAATGATATAGAAGTCAATTCATCAAGAATATATGTTAATCTCAAATTATATACACTCAATGACAGAGCTCTAAAATATAAAAATCAAAAATTGATAAAATTAAAAAGAGAAAGATACATTTATCATTGGAGATTTCAACAAATTCTCTTTGAATCATTGTTAGAACCAGAAGAGAGAATATCAGTAAAGATAAAAAAATTGGAACAGCACTATAAACCAACTTGACCTAATTGACATTTATACAACATTCCACCTCAAAACAGAAGAATATATATAGTCTTTTCAAATGCCCATGGAGTATCTACAAAGATATGTTGGGACATAAAACAAACATTAACAATTTTTAAAACTTTAAGTCGTACAAAGTATGTTTTATGATCACAATGGAACTAAGCTAGAAATCAGTATTAGAAAGATGTCTGGAAACCCCCCAAATGTTCATAATTTAAGCAACACTTTTAAGAAACTATGGGCCAATGAAGAAAGCATAAAGGAAGTCATAAAATATTTTGCACTGAGTAAAAAAAGAAAACACAACATATCAAATTTATGAAATGAATCTAAAGCAATACCTAAAGGGTAATTTTTGTCATTAAACGCTTAAATTAAAACAAAACACAAAGGTCTCAAATCAATATTTTAAGCTTCCACCTGAAGGAGCTAAAATAGAAGACCAAACCAAAGCCAAAACAAGCAGATGGAAATAATAAAATAATATACAATATATTTCTAGAGTATCTATGGTAATAGAATGTGGGATTTGTTTCAAATTATTTACTTTACTCTCAAATATAGATTTTCTTTAAGCTTATCAGCATTCAAAACATTGAGAGACAAACAGAATTGACAGAATTTCTATAATAAAAGCTAATTGTCAAAAAGTTGTACTTTTTATTTTTTTGTTTTACAATTTATTTATTTGAATTTTATTTTATTTTTTTATACAGCAGGTTCCTATTAGTTATCTATTTTATACATATTAGTGAATATATGTCAATCCCAATCTCCCAATTCATCCCACCACCATCCCACCCCTGGTAAAAAGTTGGACTTTTTAATGTGATACATCTTTATGAGGATGGAAATGTATCTTAAATATTGCTCAGCCAACTAAATACACAAGGTCAAATTTGGTTACTTCCTCTTGGAAAATAAACCTTCATAAAGCTTTCATAATGTTTCAAATAGTCCATATTTTTCTCACATAGATTACTTTGAGACCTGGATTATTGAATAGAGAATCAAAAAGCTGTCCAATTTTAGACTCGTATTTAATAAATTCTAAAATCTATGATGTGTGAGTTTATTTGGCTTTAAGAAATAAGATCCAAATGAAATTCCAAATCAAAATTTATAGAGTTATATTTAGTTTTTTAAATTACTTGCTATTGTACATAGACTTTATTCTAGTTTATAAAAAATGAGAGCTATATTAATAAACACAAGTTACAGTTTGACACATTTTATGACTGGAAAATAATCTAATCATGGCTAAAAATCTCTTAAGCTTGGCTCAGATATTTTGGCATTGAAAAATGAAAGATTTTCATTAGATACTAATTAACATAAATTTGTGGCAATGTAAGTCTCCTTTTTGTCATTTTAATTTCTAGAAACTCTGTTTAACTAACAGTAAAAGACTAATATAGCTAGTTAAAAATCATTATAGCCTCTATTAATGACAGATGTTTTAG